GTGGGTGGGGGGAGTGGAGGCCAGCTGTCATGGGCGGGGCTTGACCAAAGTGGGCGGAGTTTGCGACGAAAATTCATAACTCGGCTCCAAGAAGTCCCGGAGGCCGGGAAAAAGGGGTAGAGGTCGGCGAAAGGAAAGGGAGGCCAAATGCTATTGGTGGGCGGGGCACGCACCGAAGTAGGCGGAGTTTGCCACGAGATTTATTGTCCGGCAGTCCGGAGACCGAGAAAAAGAGGATAATGGTTGACGAAGAAAAAAAGGTTGAAAGCCGTCGATGATGGAGCGGATAGAATTTAGCTGAGAATTCAGATATTCGTAGTGTATCAAGCCAAATTTGAAAATTTTCGTCGCACCATCAAAATTCGCCGCAGATCTGTGTTGCGCGCGCAATGCGTGCGGCGCCAACTGGTATGTCATAAGCCACTTGGAGGTGAAAATCGAAAATTCAAAAGCTCGTTCGAAGGAGTCTCAAAAACTGCGCAATGCGGGATCATCATGCTATCCACTTGATCACCATTCCTCTGCGATTCTGTGATGCCGAGAGCGTCTATGAGACGTTCACTCTTTCTTCAGTCCATCAACAAGTTTAGTTTGGAGCCATTTTCCTATATACAATATCATCTTCACATTTTCATCACACGACCAATCTACGCCGAAAAGGCCGCTCAACGGAAATGAACCGCAGTTTTGGAGTCAGGTAGCCCCTACAGGATGCAAAAACCGTTTTGAAAAAGCGCTCCGCACCCTGAACAAGTTTACTAGTTTACTTGTTAGTGGTTAGTCCTCAAAACTAAGTGCGAAGTGCTGTGAAGGCAGCTCAAACCGTGAAATTACCGCCACCGAATCCGCGTCTGTCCGTGGCTCCTTCCTCAGATTGCGTCAATAGCTTGTCAGGCCGTCCGGTCCATTTAAATTAGACTTCTTTTCATCGGAAAACTTCACCTGGAGCACTACAGTGTGTGATATTACATGCGGAATCCGCCAGTGCAAAGTACCTCATCCCATTGACGAGTCCAGCCTACGTGTTCCTTTGCGAAAAAGACTCGTGCTTCTTCATACGCACTCGTCAAACATGGCGTAGTCAAAAACTGCCTTTGAACGATGTGGGGACATGATTTGAGCACACGATGACCAGTACTTTTCGACACATCGGGTGCTACTTCCTTGCTCAGCCGCCTCACACCCTTTATGGAATTGGATGCAGCATAGAGAATTCGGCGCTTCTGCCTTTCCAAAACTTTCCTAGGTCTCCCGCTCCTTTTTCGTACCGTAGGAGTCGATGTTGTTGCAGAATTTGCTCACCAAGTTGACTGATCGTCCTAATTTCCTTGAAATGCTGCGGTGGCTGAGTCCCATATCCTTGTAACCCGAATTTGGCCTTTCTCAAAGTCGTGTAGGTGCATTCCTCGTGGCATGGCACTGTAGAACAAGTGTGGGAAGTAGAGCAGTGACAAATTGGTTTCACAACTCACCTAAGTCAGAAACACTGCAGAAGAACCGAGTGTCCCTATACTTTTGGGACGCCATGATTTTAGAAAAAAAAAAAACTGCAAAATTTTTTCTTTCCAATTTCACTTACATATTTGTACCCTGGTGTAATAGTGCATTGTTGATAAAATTTGGAGAGAAATCATTTGCTTATAATAGAGATACTGAAGAAAAATAGGGGGTCCCTATACTTTTGAGACACACTGTACATATACAAACCGAGACACCATGTTGGCAGCCTTTGTAATAGGAGTATGAATAAGCATATAGCAAGATCCTTTACGATTACAGCGTTGATTTGGACAACTAGTTAGACTCACGAAGCGAATCTCTTCGAGAACTCCCGGAAGTATGCGCACACCCTCCCAATAACTTCTCTGGTCTGATCACATAGATGCCGGGGTCGTGAAGGCTGAATATACCATGAAAAAAGTGTGAACACAGGCATAAGAAAACGATAATCATTTTATCCAAAGATTGATACCGTTTTTGTTCCTGGTCGCCTCCGAAAATTTACGTCAACCATACTTGGGTATTTGACAACGGGAAAATAGGGACGCGGTCGAACTGTTTCTTCTCTCGATCCCTTAATAGAATACATAATAGATGATGGAGAAAAGCATAAAGACTTCAAAACCACTGAAGCAACACACGTTATTGTTTGCAATGTTCGTTGGAGAAGCGGGAGGAAACAGTGGCGTTTTGGACGATACAGCCGTCGATACTAAATATTAATTATCACTACTGAAGGTTAGGCAAACCGTCCTTCTTTCGGTGTGATTTTTCAGCGCTGTGCTGGATTTGGAAACAAAGTGGCAATAATAAAAAAACTATTATCTACTCATCATCATCAACTAACAGAAATATTTATCTATTGAAAGAAAACAAATGCAAAACTTGTACTAACATTCGAAGTTCCTCACGCTATTCCTCACAAGTACATCAATGGTTTGGGAACGCTTCCTGAAGAACAATGAATTTTCAAACCTATGGTAGTGTCACTACAGCGTAGAGAATTTGTTGACACAGGCATCCTTTCGCGGAAACAGTACCACTCAAGATTGTTTTCCATTAAGGCTCGAACTACAAATAAAGCGTTGACCTATTGAGAGAAAGCGGGGCTGCTCTTGACGACTCGATGAAAGCGATGAAGTCAGAGAACGAGATTCCTGGACAACCTTCGGATTGTTCGGGCGCTCTAGTTGTGAAATGTCTGCTCAATTTGCAAGTGTCCTCTTGTCTATGGCGAGAGAGTGCAAGACAGGCATAGGAGTAGCAAGTAAGCTTGCCCATCAACGCTTACTGCTTGTGCTACATATATCAGTGGCGTTTTCATGATGGCCATGATGTCCGCAGAAGCTAAGGGAAAATGTGGGTGAGCTTCGTGCTCATTTAACTTCCCTGACCAGGGTCAACCCTACGTTGTTACGAGTAACAACGGGGGGGTCGTACTCAGTTGAGCTTGAGGGGGGGGGTCGTACCCTCTCGGTGGCCGACAGTGGGATTCTTGGTAATATCGGATAATAGCCAGCACGTTACGTTTTCGTAAGATGACTGATACAGAGCATCTATAAACCACGCTTCCCTCTAAATGAGCTTTCAAATGAATCAGCGAATTAGAAGGGCGCCCGAGGCGTGGCGCGCACCAAGGCAAGGGATGTAGTGCAAGCGCATGCTCGAAGCTTTCTAGCACATCCTAAATTAAACATGAAATTGGTCTTCCAAGAAGTTACGGGCAGTGAAACCTAAGAAAACTCGCGTTTTCGAGAAAATGGCTTGAAGAATACCCCTCAAAAAAAAAGTAACAACGGGACTAATTTTTGAACTGCTGATCTTTCAGGAACGCTTGGGTGCTCGTTAGAAAGCTTGAATCCTGTAGTTTATTATACCGTGTTCAGCTTCCCAAATGAATGACTTTGAAGGAAGTTATGATCGTTTGAAGGTCAAAAAGTCGCCTTTGCACAGAAAAAAGTAACAACGTACTAAATTTTTATTAAATTAACTTTCGAAGAATTTTTACCCATGGTTGGAGAGAGAATAATTTGAATTTTCCAAATCAAATCACTTCGGCGCTGAAGCTCGAATATGAAGGAAGTTATAGCCCTAGAAAGAGGAGTGTAAAAATTCTCTTGCAAATCTGTACAAATCGCGCGTATCGGATTTATGTCGCGGATTTTGCTAGTTTAATCTCTGATGACTCAAGTAGCAATAAATATTGACGCTAATCTGTCTCTACACAAGTGTTACATACAAAGGGGGGGGGTCGTATCAAATCACCCATGAAGGGGGGGGGTCGTAAAAAATTTCCGAAGAGTAACAACGATAGGGTTGACCCTGCTTGCCTATCGTTCTGCTTATTCAGCACCACTTCTACGATGGAAATCTGTTCAATGCCTAGCAAGTCACCCTATGACGGTATCTTAGGAAGCAGCAAGTAGACTTCTGCCGCAGCTGCATGATAAGTTCCGCGCTCAAACGAAATCTTAGGCTAGTATTCTACGACTGCTTGGTAAGCAGCTAAAGAAACAGTGTGTGTGAGTTTGAAAAACAAGCCTTTGCTGTACATCCATGAAATGAAAAAAGAAACTTATTCACTGGATACTCTTTTAGAAACATACTTTGGACACCGTGCATACTTCATTAGGCTTATCCCGAGCCGACGTGGAGCTTTGAATACAACAACATCATCCAGTTTTGTGACGACCGGTGACGTCATTGCAGACGCTAAGAGATTATAGCTTCGCTCCTGAGCTAGAAGGAATTTCGGGCATATAAATAATAATCGAAGTAGAGCGCGAAATTACAAAGAAAACCTCGAAACAGATTCAAAGACACGATTAAGCAAAGCTGCAGTTAGCTAAAGAAGTATATTCAGCAAGTGTTGAATTCGTAATGGGAATTTTCGTAAGGAAACGCACAAGTGTTAGATGGTAGGCACGACGATGACATCTCGGATGTAATAGGCGTAGGTTCAACGGTATCCACGTTCACTGGTTCCTTAATAATAACATTTCATGCGGTTAAAAAAATGACGTCTTCATACCTGAACTGGCTCCGAAGAAGGAGTAAGTAAAGGAGGACAACAGTCTCTTTGCTCAGGTGCTTCAATCTGCAGAAAACAAAATCAACACAAGAACGCTAACGCAAGGTCAACCGTCCGTTTGTACAACTGAAATCAAGAATTCGTATTGGGGCTACGGGTAAGGGAGGAGTCCCGCGGGCAAATTGCAACAAAAACCGTGGCGATGTTTCTATTAATCATCGAAGGAGGTGCGAGTCATGGCAGAACGGAATAGACTTTCGAATGACTCCGCGAATTTGAAACTCCCATTATGACAGAAGTTCGTGCGAAACACTTTATACTATTTTCACTTCAAAGTGGGCACTATTAATAAGCGCAGACATTTCTCATCTCGACCCAGCTTTTTTCAATGGACTGCATTTCATTTTTACATTCGGCCGGACCGTGAGAACCGGCTTTTTTCGATCATTTGGGCCATTTTCAAACCACGAGAGATTTCCAAATTAGACTGGACATTTCTTCAGCAAGTATATTTCATCACATTTTATTTCAGTATATTTCAAGTATATTTCATCAGGGAGCTCCTGACTGAGATACTCAACAAAGAGGAAAGAAAAAATCAAAGGCATCGGCAAAAGAGATCGTGAGAGATGAGATCAGAGATTATGCGAACTAAATGCTCCGAGATAAATTTAACGAACGCTGCAGCTCTGGAGGAGCCTTCGGTAATTGAGCGTGCTGGTTTCTTCTTTGTAATTCATTGTAGAGTAGCTCGCATTTGGTTGACTCGAAAATCTTCCATTTTGTGGATTGAGAGAAATATTTACAGAAGCGATATTTTAAGAAAAAGAATTTAGAAAATAATGTGTCATCCTTATTTGAGCGGTGTCTAGCTTGATATCAAAAAAAAAAACATTTTGAGTTGGAGAGCGTTTACAATCGGTCGAAAAATATCCGAGTTGTATTTGAAAGGGTCCAGTGTTAGTTTAAAAAAGAACTGTTCTGATTGAAAAATGTTCTGATTCATTTGAAAAAAAAAACGCGGATTGAAAAATGTACAAGATTTCTTGAAAAACGTCAACCTTGACTTGAAAGATGTCCAACGAAAATGGCATATATCAGAAAGCTATCATGTGAAAGCTGAGTTGTGGGTCAAACTCTTCACGTCAGGCAAAACGTGAACCCACATTTCTTGTTTTGCGGACAATTGTGCAACCATCCATACCCCCCGGAGCTGTGTTCTACGCTCTAACAACCGAAGAACTCGAGATGGAAGCTGGGCTGGACGAGCGTAGCTCCATGGGAGATACGATACGATAAGGTGAGCAGATGCGGCTTTTCGGTATAAGGTGCACTTCAAAATGGAAACTGCACTATAACGGTAGCATATCAAGTACACTCCCACTGGAACCTCCTCCATGTCGGATACGTAGGTGGTACTATGCTTCGAAAGTGAGTTCCAGTGCCTCATCATGCCACCTATCACACCTATCAAGGGTCCCTGCCCTGAAAAGCCAACTATCGGCTCATTGGGTAGGTCTCCCACCAAATTATTATGTAAGCTTCCCATTCGTCCCCATGAGAATTATCGCAACCACTCCCTTTAAATCAGCTTTCGGAAGAAAAAAATCATAGCCTGCTCACATGTATCATATAACGTAATGAGCTGGCAAGCCGCATCGGTAGTAAAACGTGAGGCTGAAAGCTCTAATTGATTTTAACTCGTTTTCACTAGTAAAACATTCTTCAGCTGTAATGAATCCTTCTATTTTATAAAGCGCTAACTTTGTGTGTCGGTTTGTGTATCTGTATGTGTGTGTGTGTGTGTGTATGTATGTATGTGTGTCCGTCCGCAAAATGAAGTGAGTGAGAAGGAAGCTCATGGGATAAACAAACCGCTAACAAATCGGGTAGCTTACAGGATTTGAGATATCAATGTTTTGTAGCAGGATAGTTGTGATAACACTCTTAGGGCTATATAAAGCACACTTCCGTTCATTCCACATGGTGCTGCAGTGGCAGCTGGAGGGCAGTGGAGAGAGGAAGGGAGGATGAGGAAGGGAAGCGAAAAATCTACCGTCATATCATGATTGTGTCCCTTCTACTGTATGAAACACCATTGTGTTGCATACGCGTCACTTCCAGGAGGTGTTGGTGTCACAGGAGGAAGGGACCATAGCGGAGGATAGAAAGCTTGCGCAGGAAAGGAAGGTCCCGGCGGTTGACGGGGGACTAATCTGGTATAATAATCGACGTAAGGTGAAATGGCGCCTCGGTAGTGTAAGTGAGCAGACTTGTCCGGAAAACGAAAGATGGGTTTGATTCACGCCTGGAATGAAGAGTTTTGACCATAACTCAGTAGTGCTCCTATGGGTTTCGCATGGCTAACTGGGGTCAAAAAGGCAGTTAACCATCATAAGCAAGCCTTATCTGCGAGTAAATAGCATTAAAACATTGGCTCAGGAAAATTCCGATGCGCTTGTACTCAACTGAAATGCAAATAGCGCGATAATGTGAAAGATCAACTTTCAAAGAACAAATAATCAAAAAGGAAGTTTTCGAATAGTGAAAACTTCAACACAATTTTGGCACATATTGAAACGTCCATATAACTTAGTCCTATGATACTAAACTTGCTACCAAAAACAATTTTGAAGTTCTGACCACTGAAGCGCAAAAAATATGGCTTTAAAATGTATTCCCCCACAAAAGCTCAGATGGGACCATTTCTAATTCGATGAAGACATTTTCAAAATTTTTAAGGAACAGCAAATTGTTGGTAACTGCGCTTGCTCTAACTTTACAAATAGCAACTTTGAAGAGATTTGTAGTCCGAAAGCTCGAGGAAGGGCGATTAGAAGATGGTCTTCCAAACCCCTAAAAGAGTGCAAAGAGGGTTTTTTTGAATTTGAGAGAGAATAGCAACGGTTGTGATTGTAGAAATGCTGAAAACCTACACTAGCATAGGAAAAATAAAAACGGACTGGTTTTTTTTTCACTAAATCGAGTTAGCCAGCCAAACAGGCAAAGCTTAAAAGCTATTTTTCGAAGAGAGAATTACTCGAAATCTGTGAATCCTGCAACATGGTCGCACACCCTGGGGAGGAAGTCACTATCACTGAAAGAAAGAAGCGCAATGCATTGAATTCAAATTTCTTTTTTTTTCACTCCAGAACAAGGACTGTTAAAGGAGGAATTCACGATTAGAATGAAGGTCGAAGAAGGAGTAATTCACCTAGTTGAGGGACCCGCGGACCTCCTGAGGGTGCGGACTGAAGCGCAATTGGCACCGAAAAGTTGACCTCGGCGACCTATTAAGGCTCAATCTTGGCGCGGTGGGCCAGTGCACGCCCACCGATCATCTGATCACTCGCCGCAGGTCTATACGTGGCGAGTGATTAGATAGGTGAGAGAGCGTAGTGTTGAAGAGGGCACAGCGATGAGAGTCGCATCAATGCTCAAATCAACGGGCAAGGAAGGGGTCCCATTTCTCGGGTTCTGGGCCGTTTCTCATGGTTTTTCCTTCTTTCGTGTACCACTCACCATCCCTAGGTTAATTTGAAATGGGTTGCCTTTTTCATCGTGAATTCGTCCTTAATAGGATATTTGTTTGTTAACTGGTACAGAAGTTAACAAACAAAAAACAGCTTTTACTGTTATCCCGATAGAAGCCAGAAAGCTGATGCCTGGGAGATTGCAAATATACCCCCACCTTTTCCAAAATATTGTACATCAAGGAAATAGTGCTTGTTTCAAGAGTGGTAGTTCATGTCGCTCCCTTTCTCGCGCTCTCCAAAAGCAGACGGATTCAACGGCATCGCACATCGCAATATCATGTACGTACCTCATGGCATCGCTCGATCAAAATTATCAGAAGAGGAAAAGGAGAAAAGTGTAGGGATAGGGAGCGTATCGAGACTCTCTCAAGAGGTGGGAGCGTGGAACTTTTGAGTCAGTACAAAAGCGACGGATGACCTAGCGTTTCCTGCGACATACTCGGACTTACGCATGCATTCTGTGGTTTCAATGAATTAGCGCTTTCTGCCTGCTGTGGATTCGTTGAAATAAGAGGCATTTGCAGTTCTGACGAGTTCAATCTGCGATTGCCGATGACGTCGGCTCGTAATGTTGGATCCGTTGCAAGGCTCTGAAAGATGGTTAGTTAATGCTATTAAGGACGAGGTGTATGAAATAACATAACTTATCAACAATTCGATTGAATTCAATGAAACTGTGAGGACATCATGCCCAAAGTATTTTAGTTATGCATGGTATACTGTGTTTCATATACGTATTGCGCGGTCCACTTCAATCTGGAGTGGGAGGAATGGCCACGCAACGCAGGAAAAAGGCGGCATAGGGAGCGTAAAAGAGCGTCGAGAGTGAAGAAGACGAAGAACATCCGGCTCCGTGCCCACCTCTTCGATTCCGCTGTCCTTCCTGCCCTAACCTACGCCTCAGAGACTTGGACTCTGCGCAGGCAGGACGAGCATGCGGTCAGCGTTATCCAACGCGCTGTCGAGAGGACGATGCTAGGAGTAACCCTATACACGCAAGTGCAGAGGGGAATCCGGAGTTGCCGAACTACGCCAACGATCGAAGATCAGGGACGCTGCCGTTTTCGCCAAGGAATCGAAGATCAGGTGGAGCCGGACACCTCATGCGATTCTGCGATGGGACGAATGAAGACGTTGCTGGCGCCCGCTCAAGCCACTCAATGATCAACGGGATGACAGGTGGTAAAGGTAACAGGTACACATGTGTGTCAACAGTAGTCAAAGGGTCAACAAAGGTCGCGAATCAATGCTTCCATATTTTCAACGATTCACTGCAATTTGCACACAGATGAGCAGCCTTCTCAAAAGCTGAACAAATAACTCAGTGCTTCGGAGATTCATGATTGCAAATTAGAAAGTCTTCGCTTCATCATTTATCCTTCTTCGTTAATATCAAAAATTTTCACTAATATTTTCGCATTTTTACCCTGCAGTAGAGCAATGCGTAAGGAAATAGTGCCGCTTTCTACGACAATAGGCAAGCATCAGAACAAATAAAAACAACAAAAAGGAAATGTAAAATGCAGAAGAAGAACTACTGTTCACAGTCACTCATAGCTAACCTTGTTTGATACTGGAGAAGTATGACACTGAACTAATTGTGCTGCGCTGTTCAATCGCTGGCCAACCAAAGGATACGGCAACGGTCCAGGCAATGGAGAAACACGCAAAGGCGGTTGCAAAGTACCGTCATGGCGAATGGGTAATGAGACGGAGTCACGCGTAGCTTCAGGTGCGCTGTAACAAAACTATTTGTTGAATAACTTTCAGTAAACTGTGCAGACTTGCAAATTTGGTGGATGAGCAAGCCATGACATCCTTCAACTTCAACTTTTCATTCTTCTTTCATTCATTTCATGCTCCAATCCAATTCACTCTAATAAAAGTCTCTTCAACTGGAGCCAGTACACCTCTACAGCGTGCTAATAGGAAACGCTAACGATCAAACTGTTGTGTGCTTAACAGCACATTTATCCAAGCACTCACCGTTATGCAACTATCCGCATGAATTCGAGCAACTACAGAAGTGTTAGAAGCAATATGCAATTTGGCGAAAGAAATAATCGGCGACACAGTGGTAGAGCTTAAGTCAAGACAGTACAACAAAGAGAAGTGTTCGCAGATAGTAAAATGGGAGTGCGGTGCGAAATCATAGGACCCCCCCCCCAAAAAAAAAAACATGTATTCAGCTTCTAGGAATCATCATTCATAGCAACCTGTAAAATCAGAAGCATCTTTATGAAAAATCTATACACCGCAAAATACCAGGCTATCCGATTGATTTTCCATATTTTTAGACAAGCTTTATAAAGGTAGTGGTCACGGAAATACCTATGGGGACGATAGGAAAAGTGACATTGTGAATTGTGTAGGGGTCTTACTCAGGGTGAATAACGGTCGAGGATTTCCTCGACCATAGCTCTCTACCATGCGAGAGTAGTGCCGAGAGTGAACATCCGCGCGGAGAGCACAGACGGCACGCCCATGGCGAGTGTGAATGTCCGCGCGAGAGATGTCTGATCGGGCAGAGAATCCTCGACGTGCCGTTGAGGAATCCTCAAGCGATATTCATCCTGGGGTCCTACCCAATGGGAGGACAGGCGACGCTTTCAGGGTGGTTACGCCTTATCAACGGCGTGATGAGGCGCCGAAACCCACTTCCGGTTCGGCGTTGCACCTCCTCATCAGACGTGGAAGGGGATGCAACAGCAGCGTGCTAGATATGATACGGTTATCGTTATCGTTCGATTTTCATGCTGGAGTGCACCTCATTCCAAGCAGCCGTATCTTCTTATCTAATCGTATCGTATCTTCCAGGGTTATGCTCGTCCAACCACTATCTATCTCCGACCTTATCGGTTGATAACGCGGAGTTCAGCGATCCAGGTGGAAACCAGCGTGATCGCTTCCTTTAATTTTCGAGCCGCTGCAGAATCATAGGCACCCTCCTTCAAAACCTAAAAAGCACATTACGCCCGAATCTTATTGATCTAGTATTCCGAAAGGAACTACTTAGCAGAAACATTTTATCCATGCAAGCAGAAATGTCGTAAATTTTTATACATATTCGAATCAAAGTGGTGCACATCAGCGGGGAAATCCATTGCTTCAACTTTGAAATTGTGTTGATCTTGTGAGTATTTCGCAGCCATTGCTAACAAAGGTTCTCCAAGTGAGTCTCGACAAATTTCAGACGCGCACTCCTTGCTGGCCATTCTATTGAAGTCACTAAGCTAGTTTGTAACCACTGGCTCATTGGAGCCTTCGCATGACAGAGTGTGTGACTTGTCAAAAAGAAGACGCGAAATCTGTAAAAGAGGAGGGAGCAGCTGGTTCTCTGCGCCTTTCCTGCTCTCTAGTAAACTCATTCCAGTGGAGAAAAACTTCAGGTCTGGGACTCAGGATGAGGTTACGCATCCACTCATCTTTAGGAAACTACCACGAAAATTTCGTTGAGGGAATATCGTCGAAACCTGGCCTATATTCCTCTACTAGTGAACAACGTCATCTGAATCATCAATATAAACTCTTTGTTACCAAGGAAAAGCCGTCTGAAAGGAACAAAATTACAATCTTAAACGAAAATTTGCTCAGCTTGGCCCAGTCTTTAGTTTGGATTTCTCTTCCCTGGTTCAGTCAGAACGCCTAACGAGCATGGCAGCACGCTTCGCAGGACCCTACGCTAGTTGTCCATATCAATGATTTTGCTATATGGTTTCGGTTTTATCCGCTTTCTGTCGTAGAGCTGACACAGGCTGAGCGTGCATGGTGATTTTTGTTCGATGTAGTCTTCGAGGTTATGCGCCAATCCTTTTGGAAGGTTGTTGTTTATCCTGGTGCTCTCTTATTTCTATTCGTAGTAAGAGTTTGGAGTACCAAGCTACGGTTTCCTTGAACTTCCAAAAATGGCTTCGATGGTCGTGGATAGAGCAGTATAGCAGAGATGGTCATGAGTGTAAAAGCAACGTCTGGCTTTCACTCGCGGAGGAAGAGGAGAGCACTCAAACCGTAACTCTAGTAGAGTTGCAATACACCTATTAAGTGCTACCATCGTTGCTGGTTGGATAAAAAAATCCAGTAAGGAGAATTCTGAGGGGTGTCCTATGATTTTGCACCGGCTCCCAAAATTAAAAAAAATGCCTAAAACGTATGGAAAACTAATGGAATAACCTGGCATGGTAGGTATAGGCATTATGGGTATAGGTTTTTTGTAAGGGCGGCTTTGATTTTACAGGTTACGATTAACGACAATCTCTAGAGGCCGAGAACGACACAATTTACATTGGAGCCATTTCCGGAAACATCACGAATTGATACGGGAATTTCGTAGGTGGAAGTATCATTAGAAAAAGCACTGTGTAAGAGGCAAAGATGACAGACCTCACTGGAGCTTGGGGAGCAATATAGTTCATTTGGCAACCATATTCTTCCTGTCGTCGCTGCCCTTAAAGGAAGATCCGTACAAGAAGTAATTAGAATGTTCAGCACCATTGCCTTCGTCTGTCACTATTGTAAAGGCGTTCATTACGTATAATATTTAATATCATTATTATGGAATAACAGTAGGTCATACTACGTACGGAAAGATGGCAAATTTGGTTATGAAGCAGGTTAAGCAGGTTCTGCGACCATCTGTAAACAGGGTCGGTCCTATCGTAGAGACTTTTTGCAAAATTTCTACGACCCCCCTCCTTCACGACAAATTTTATACAACCTCTTCTTCATCACTTATTTTTCCCTCGAAAAACACTACGCACGTTGAAACGGCAAAATTTCTCCGCGCGTCTTACTTCATCACCTGTAATTTCGTGCTTTCGTGCTACCGAAACAAGCACGAAAACACTTTGCCAGTATTGTCTGTGCACTGTCCCGCTCTAGAAGTAAAGTCTGTGGTTACTGTTTAAAACCAAGCCTTTCCTAAAACGTAATACAAGCGGGGAGCATGTGAAAAAATGTCGGGGTGATTGGATAAGGTCGAAGCTCTAAAGCTTTAGGATGCAGCAATAGCCACGCCCAACTTCTTTGACCTCACTCACAAGTCAATGCTTTTTCGTTTCGGCGTTACTGGAGAGGGGTGACTTCATTTTCGCCCTTGTTGACGTCGAGTTTTCGTTACTTCTGTTTCTTCCAGTTTCCATTACTGACGCCACTTACATAAACACTTTCACTTGAAGGTAATAATAACATGCTTGGTTTGGAAGTTCGCCTTTAAATAGTCAACAGGTACATATGTATTCGCGTCTCTCGATATCATAGTCGCAGAAGTGAGTGAATGTGCATGCGCTAACTCAAAAATGAAAAAGGATCAGATTGGGTGACTGAGACAGTAGTTAGGGACAGGGTGAAAATGGTTAAGGAAATCCTCGACAGAGCAGGAACCCCTGTTCTATCTACCCCTGTTCGAACTGGGAAGTCGTATGTGCTGACGTCATTACCGGAGACAGCTAACTCTCACAGACTTGTCATGTGCATTTTAACTCAAAACTCTTCTAAAGAGTTTTGAATGAAGATTTGATTG